CCCAAAACCCCAAAACCCCAAAACCCCAAAACCCCAAAACCCCAAAACCCCAAGAGGGAAAAGTGGGATTGAAATTAAGATTTTTAGGGGGATAAGGGGGTGGGTTAGAAAATAGATCACTGTTTGGGTTTCTTTTGGGGGGTGGTTGAGGGGGCTTCGAGAATGCGGGTATCGCTACCTTGGCGGATTGTGAATTTTAAATTGAAGAATTCGTAGTCGTGGAAAAGAGTTTCGATGTCTTCTCCTGTGAAGCCTGAGCTTTCAAGATTTATGTTTTCGAGGGAGTTTGATAGATTAGTTGAAATTAATGCTATGATAAGATCCATACAAGGTGTTTCCTCGAGGTTCTATACTTGAGATAAATAACCCCATTACGATCCCAAGGAAAATAATTAAAAAGAACTTACAGATACATCTTGACAGTAAACCAGCCTGACTCTCCTTATTGCATATTTTAAAAAATTGCTAACTTTTACACCACCCATTTCCATATCTCAATGAGAAAATTGAATATTCACAGTCTGGGATGCATCTGTAAAGATTCTTCCAATAATTCTACGACTGAGGTGGAATCTATGGAGCAACAAAGAAAGCTGTAGATTATTCAGCACTGGAGAAAGACTCCTATAAAGACATTCCAGGTTTAACTTTGTTTTAAAACTATCATTGTCTGCATTTGATCTTACAGATTTCCCATAAATGTCGAGGTTCAAAAGGGGACTTGTCTTAGAGTTAGCAAGACATTTATTGAATGTACGTAAGCGTTGATCAGCTAGGAAGATAGCGACTTTCAACTGGGTTGCATTTGTGAACAACAGGTTTATTTTATAGAGCTTGTTATAATATTTCTTGATAACTGAATCATCCAAGATAGGCGAACTGCTGAACTCAATACTTATAAAGTTATTAATTTGGTTCTATCATATTTGATTAAAGGATTCCAATACGGGTCATTTATATCTCCTGCACAGAAGGAGCCATTTAAGATAATCTCTTGGTTCAGATATCTTAATTCTCCCTGTCTCTCCTTTTTAGACATTTTAATTAAATTATTATAATTGTCATCAGTTTGGATATAATTAGGGGTTTTGGGGTTTTGGGGTTTTGGGGAGATCGGA